AAAAGCATCGCTCTTTTAGCGAAGTTGAGAATCACCTTGAGTCCAAGCTCCTTGACCGTCCTGAGGATCCAAAGTAATGGACCCCAGTATAGTCTGCCTACAGTAAGAACTTCACAGCGACACAACACGTGCGCCGAGGTCTCTTCCTCTACCCCGCAGTGCTCACACAAGGGATCCACAGCCACTTCAATCACGTGCAGGTGGCGCCTTAACATGTTATGGCCATACAGCAACCTCAGGTTGGCTCTATCCAGAGATAAGCAGAAACGTTCATCCTTAGCACTGGGCTCTTCAATGAGTTCCCGTACCTGGCGGAGATGTCTGGAGATACTTCTCCCTTTCTGAGAGTGTTGTCTTGCAATCCACGTCTCCATTTTCCTCCTAACTCTATGCGCGGTCACTCCTAGAGCTGGCTCAGGACCAACGAGCTTGCTGGCTGATCCTGTCTTCACCAGAGTGTCAGCCGTCTCATTGCCCCTTATCCCAGCGTGCCTCGGTACCCACATTAACGATACCGGATGCCTCACTGCAAGACAATCCAGAGCCTCCCTGCATTGCAATACAAGACTCGAAGTAATCTTACAGGCACTTAGTGCTTTCATTGCAGCCTGATTGTCGGATAAGATTGTTATTCTTCTCCTAGGCCCACCCTCCACCAGAATGTGAGATACACAAGCCAGAATCGCAAAGATTTTCACCTGGAAAATAGTGGTGTATCCAGAGATAGCCTTGATGTACGCCCTGAGACCCCAGCACCTGAACCCTCTTCGGCGACCGAGCCGTTCGTGTACCAAGACTAAGAAACTGTCGAGGCAAACCAGAAAAGAGGAACTTGTGCTCGCGGTGCCTAAAGAGGGGGGAGGAGCTGAACAGCTAAGAGAGGCCATTAGTGAGCTTGGCAACGACGGAATGTCAGCTAGGAACAGTGGAAGAAGCACGCTTCATAGATGGGGTAGCTTCGGTCCAGGGGGTGGAGGAAGCCTTTAGAGGTGCAATTCTAGACGAGAGGCAAAGCGTCGTGGCTAAATCACTGAGACCTACAAAGATTGGGAACCAAGTGGCGACAGTTACCGCCCCGCGGGTACTTGCAACCCGTTTGCTAGCCCTGGCCGCATACGAATTGGCTTCGTGCTGTGCCACATACAGGAGAGAGTGAACATCCTGAGTTGTAGTCAATGTTGGGCCACGGGGCATTTAGCCAATGAATGTCGAGGAGTGAACAGAAAAACATTGTGTCGTAATTGCGGGAAAGAGGGACTCAAGTTGGCATATTGCAAAGAGGCTGTCTACTGCCCGATATACGATTTGACCGGTCACAGAGCCAGTTCGTACGACTGTCGAATATTTATATGGCCAGCATCTACGCAGCGTTCAAAAGAGGAGTCGTATGAGACTAAGGTCATTGGTAACGGATGCGGATGACGATAAGGCGGAAGACATGGAGAGCGAGACCCAAACACAAACATTACCAGAAAATGCTTAAAATTCTAAATTAAAATCTACTACTAGTTTCTGAACTAAATCGTAAAACTCTCACGCCAGGTGGCAGGCGGACCTAAACCTCGATGTCGCAGCATATCTCAGAAACAAGAACCTGGCCGTAAAGTCTGTTGAAAGGAAGCTCGGATCCCTTGCATACATCTTAGCAAATTATCATTGTTCTCTTGCTATATCGCCCCAAATATCCCTATCGAGAACTTTGTGAAATTCCTGGGAAACCTAGGTGAGGACGTCGGTACTGCGATGACGTATTAGGTGACTTTAATGCAAAGTCGGTGGAATGGGGTTTCCCTATCACGAATAGAAGAGAACGTGCTCTTGGCGAATGGCTGGCGGGCTTAAATCTGGTGGTACTCAATGATGGTCTCAAGTCAACTTTTTTGTAGAGGTGATTCAACATTTTATATAGTAGTAGTAGTAGTACCACCTACTCCGAGTCGGAGTAGGAGTCGTAGTAATGGAAGGTTTAGCATGCTTTATACAGGGTGTCCCAGAATATGTGAATCAAATTGCAATGGGAGATACCTTAGATAATGACCTCTCAATTGCGGTACAGACCTGACAAAAAAACGTGTAGCCTTTGCGTTAAAACAAAAAATCAGTTTTTTTTGAAAAAGTATGATTTTCGTCAAACTTTCGACGACAGGTGCCGCGTTTAGGGTTTATTTTCATTTTTTTTTCACTATTATTATTAGCGAATGATTGATGCATGAAACTACAAACAGTTTTATTCTAAAAGTTACGTAATTTTGAAGCCGCAGCGCTATTTTGGAATTTTTTTTCTGCATCCCAAAGTTTCTCGTAAGTTCGACTAACAGTGGTATAAGTAAAATGTATGGGACTTGTTTGGCAAACCTCTCCGAAAAATAGCCCAGTTAATGAAGATTCGAAAATGGTACAAATCAGGTGATTTACCTCAACAGAGTAGGAGAATAAAAATTCTTAGAGTGCAAGGGCGAAATTGGTCTAATTTCAAAATTACAATTTTTAAATCATAATTGCCTGTACGTTCAAACCATTGCGTGAAACCTTAGAATCGGCATCAAAAAGTTGTTTCAATGTCCGGTAGACTGAACAAAACACATGCTAGCTCGCTCAAGGTCGGCTAAAATTATTTGTATTGTCACACTTATTCCCAGAATTTAAGAAGGGGAGCAGGGGCAGGCAGCGCAGGGAAAAACTGGATCGCGATAACAATACTACCTCACTCTAGCGTTTTGTGTTATTAGTGTTGACGGAAATGGGGCCCCCCGCGGCGGCGCGATGCTGATCTCACTCTCATCCTTTTTATTCAGTACGACGTTTGACGGTCTGTGCTACACCTGTGTTCTAATGTCTCCTGTGATTTAACTGTTACGATCTTGGCTCTACTGTAGACTTTGAACATTTTTTGCTCGTGATTCGGATTTGTTTGATGAATCTCAACGACTTGGCGCTACTGTGGAAATTGATTTTCTGCACATTATGGCTAATCGACGACCAGATGAACATTGTTACACGGCAAGCGAGTATGCTGACATGCATCTTGTTTATGGAGAAACAAGGCGTGTTAACACTAGCGGTGGAGCAAGTTATTCTGCCAGGGAAGCTGCCAGGATTTACGCTCAGCGGTATCCGAACCGTCTGCACCCAGCTTATGGAGTATTTTTAAGAGTACACAACGCTTAGGCACAGGGACGATTTTCTGGTGGTCCTCATAGTGAAGGAAGACCTCGGAGACATAACGACGATGTTGTTGTAGAGCAACGGATCCGTCGACGTCGCTGCGCGCTATTGAACGAAGAACTGGCATTCCAAGATCATCGGCACACAGAATACTGCAAACGTTAAGATACCATCCGTATCACGTGCAAAAAGTGCATTCTCTTTTAAATAGAGATTATGCACCGCGTGTACAATTTTGCCGAAAAATTATAGAGTTAAGCCGAGAAGACCCCAACTTTTTTAATCGAGTTTTGTGGAGTGACGAATCCACCTGTAAGAAAGATGGCTACACAAATCTCCACAATCTACATAGCTGGCAAATATCAAACCATCATTTAATAAGAGAGGACCGTTCTCAGTACCCGTTCAAAATCAATTTATGAACTGGGATTTTTAACGGTAGAATTGTGGGTCCAGTGGAATTACCTGCAGCATTAAATTCGGCAAATTATTTAGAACTATTGAGAGACACATTGCCGAGACTTTTAGCAGAAGAACCAGAGGATTCAATACAAACAATATGGCTACAAAATGACGGATGCCCAGCCCATTTTGCACGTGAAGTGAGGGCCTACCTTGATGAGGCTTTTCCTAGGCGGTGGATTGGCCGTCTGGGACCCTCTAGATTTCTTTTATTGGCGTTGCCTCAAAGATAAAATTTATTCGCGTCCGAACACACCGATTGGATCCCTGGAAGAATTAAGAGAGCTTATTAACCAGGCTGCACAACAAATTCCTGTTATGAGCTTGCGGCGCCTAAAACAAAATTTTTTGAGAAGATGTGCATTGTGCATTCGTACTGGTGGCAGACACTTTGAACATCTTTTATGTGAATCGTAATTGGTTACTTCTTTATTGATGTTTTTAGTTGATTAAAGTTGAAAATTGAAAGTTCTTTTCTGTGTTTTCTTAAGTTTAGCTTACATTGAAACAAAAGTTTTTGATTCTTATACTTTTTTAAACAAGTATTGAGTTGTGTAACAATAGTTTGAACATTCGATCAACGTGAAAAGCAATTATGATTTGAAAAGTGTAATTCTGAAATTCGACCCATTTCGCCCTTGCACTCTAAGAATTTTTTTCCTCCTACTCTGTTGAGGTAAATTACCTGATTTGTACCATTTTCGAATCTTCATTAACTGGGCTATTTTTCGGAGAGGTTTGCCAAACAAGTCCCATCCATTTTTTTATACCACTGTTAGTCGAACTTACAAGAAACTTTTTGGTGCAGAAAAAAAATTCCAAAATAGCGCTGCGATTTCAAAATTACGTGACTTTTAGAATAAAACTGTTTGTAATTTCATGCTTCAATCATTCGCTAATAATAATAGTGAAAAAAATGAAAATAAACCCTAAACGCGGCACCTGTCGTCGAAAGTTTGACGAAAGTCATACTTTTTCAAAAAAACTGAATTTTTGTTTTAACGCAAATGTTACACGTTTTTTTTGTCAGGTCTTTACCGCAATTGAGAGGTCATTATCTAAGGTATCATCCCATTGCAATTTGATTCACATATTCTGGGACACCCTGTATGTAACAAGTCTTAAATTATTCGCACAATCCAAAAAGATAATAATATACAGGGTGTTTCGGTTGAAATAAGCTAACTGGTATTTACTTCCGGTACAGCCGGAAGTGTCACGCTTTTGAATATCTTTAGCCAAATCGCTTCCACCAGTTAGATTCAAATTTCCATAATTGTTTCACGACGACCTTTCTAGTAATTGATCACCTCAGTTATACTATGCTTTCTTGTAAGAGGTAGGCAACCGCTCAATAAGTTACTATTTTGCAGACTTGTTGAAGAAATCCAATTCAGCACGAATCCTCTTTACATCATCACCAGCATCTTATTTCCATGATCTGAGAGGCTTCGATAAGAAGCAATTGACAACTGGTGCAAGCATACATAATTACTCATCAACGAAGTGCCTCAGCATTGTATGTTCTGACATATTTGCCGACAAACTGAAGAAGTACAATATAACATCTAACGCCTGGCATCCTATTGGTGCCACTACACCGGTGGGTATAAAATAATAGTAACAGGTCTCTATTTGTGGAAAAAAGTTTAGTCGCATCGACTATTTTACAACTTGACCCTACGGTTTATTTCCACATATATCCATTAATCAATAAGTTTTATAGAGGTATGTGCTATTACTCGCGACTTCGTACGCTCAAAATTGTCAAATTAACCGAAGCTTTGATATTAACACATTAGCTTAAACTTTCTAATGTAGTACCTCCCATACCAACGTATTATTTTATTCACCGTTATATTCTATATGCAATAACTATAATTCCATAACAGACAGTTCTGGCATTAATTTTGATTGTATCAGAAAGATCCTGTCAATCTTCAGGGACTATTACAATAGTTAAAGTTAATGTTCATTTTATGTGGTTCTTTTATGGATAGTAATAGTTATCATTATATTGCCATGTAATTGGTTTAGTTGATTTGGACAGATAAATAGATAAATAGATAAATAGATAAAAATGGATAAATAGATAAATACATAAATAGATAAATAGATAAATAGATAAATAGATAAATAGATAAATAGATAAATAGATAAATAGATAAATAGATAAATAGATAAATAGATAAATAGATAAATAGATAAATAGATAAATAGATAAATAGATAAATAGATAAATAGATAAATAGATAAATAGATAAATAGATAAATAGATAAATAGATAAATAGATAAATAGATAAACAGATAAACAGATACACAGATAAACAGATAAACAGATAAACAGATAAACAGATAAACAGATAAACAGGTAAACAGATAAATAGATAAATAGGTAAACAGATAAATAGATAAATAGATAAATAGATAAATAGATAGATAGATAAATAGATAAATTGATAAATAGATAAATAGATAAATAGATAAATAGATAAATAGATAAATAGATAAATAGATAAATCGATAAATAGATAAATAGATAAAAAGATAAATAGATAAATAGATAAATAGATAAATAGATAAATAGATAAAATAGATAAATAGATAAATAGATAATAGATAAATAGATAAACAGATATAAACAGATAAACAGATAAACAGATAAATAGATAAATAGATAAACAGATAAACAGATAAACAGATAAATAGATAAATAGATAAATAGATATAGCTGAATAGATGAATAGATAAATAAATAAATAGATAAATAGATAAATAGATAATAGATAAGTAGATAAGTAGATACGTAGATAAATAGATAAGTAGATAAGTAGATAAGTAGATAAGTAGCTAAGTAGATAATAGATAATAGATAGTAGATCAAGTAGATAAGTAGATAAGATACGTAGATAAATAGATACATAGATAAATAGATAAATAAGATAAATAGCTCAATGATAAATAGATAAATAGATCAATAGATAAATAGATACATAGATAATAGATAAATAGATAATAGATAACTAGAATAAATAGATAAATAGATAAATAGATAAATAGATAAATAGATAAATAGTTTCAATAGAAAATAGATAAATAGATAATAAATAGATAAATAGATAAATAGATATAGATAATAGATAATAGATAAATAGATACAACAGATAAACATATAAATAGATAATAGATAAATAGATAAATATTTGAATGGACGAACGGATGAACGGATGAATGATGAGCGGATAACCAGATAATCAGATAAACAGATACGCAGATAAATTAATAAATAAATTTGTAAATAAATCCAAGTCCAGAAACCGTTACAGACCTAAGGTAATGTTTTGTTCAGTTTTGGAATTGTTGTTCATTGCAATAAGATGCCAGTTAGCACTAACCAGAAGGTAAGGATTCCAATGGCGTCTTGGGGACAGAAAATATTCGCCACGGGCTTTTAGAAACATGTTTGCAGGGTGTCCCGATTTTTAAAGATAATCCTGCAACTGTAGATAGGTCACGTCATAGCCTGTTTGATGTTAAGATTTTGTTTCATTAAAAGTCTTATAGTTTTTGAGAGTTTCAGCATTCATTTTTTTAAACACTGGTTTATGTTCAGTTAATCCCATGCCATTTCTACACATACGGTTTAATTGAAGGCCAACTCTAACCCAACCGCTGGACTTTGTGCCGTTCAGCTCTAAACTAAGTGCACTGTCGCCGCGCCTTGCGTATTTATCCCGTTCAAAGTGATCGAGATCGTTCTCGAACAGATCGCTCACCGCAGTGTTGCTGCTGCTTGTGTTTATTATGAGAGTTTACAAAATTTACGGAAGTTTCTATGATTTTAACATCTTCTTAAGGGAGATTTCAATGACAGAATAGAAGACAAAGTAATACCTGAAATAAAACAAAGATTTAACGAAAGAGTCATCAATGAGAACGGAAAGAGAATGGTGGACTTCTGCACATTAAACGAATTGAGAATAACCAACACATTTTTTTTAGCGGCTGTGAGAGGTTTGACGTCACCCAACGTGGGAAGCGATCATTATTTGGTACTTGGTAAAATTAGATTCAATGAAAGATGGAAAGAGCAGATTAAACACACGAATTCAGAGGAAATAATAAAAATAGAAAATTTAAGAGATGACCCCATAAAATCATTATATCAAAAAAGGCTAGAACAGAAGATAAAAATAGAAAATATCGAAAATGAAAGCAATGTAGAAACTAGCTGGAGAAAACGTAAGAAAAATATTCTGGTCGCTGCCCGAGAAGCCCTTGGAACGAACATAATAAACAAAATAAAAAGTGGTCAACGAAAACACCATGGTTTACCCTAGAGGTTAAGCAAAAATGTCACCAAAAAAAGAAAGATTTCCTAAAATATAAGTCAGATAAAACCAATGAATCATTTGAAGAATATAAAAGAATAAGAACTGAAACTCATCAATTGGTAAGAAAAATAAAAACAGATTACTCGGAAAGATTCACAAAAGGACTAGAGATGGATTTCTACGAACAACAGAAACAAGTATGGCGCTTCATGAGACAACAAAGAAGCGCAATGAAAGAACTAGTTGAAGTAGAACACATAAAAGAGGATAAATCGGTGGCCTTCCTGACAGAAATGTTTAAGAAAGAAAACGAAGAATCTTTACCAGAAACGCCAAATTTAATAACTGATGAAAAGATCAAAATCTCCCAAGAAGATGTGAAACAAGGAATAAATAGACTAAAAAATAGAAAGTCACCAGGAGACGATCAATTCCAAATGAACTCTTAAAATACGGAGGTGATCACTTTGTACAACCTTGTACACCACGAACAGAATACCAGACGAATGGAGGAGAGAGATCATGCTGATGTTCTTCAAGAAAGGAGATAAGAAATACCCCAATAATTATCGAGCAATAAATCTGTTAAATACAACACTCAAATTGACAACAAGAATAATAGCGACAAAAATAAACGAACGAGTAATTTTGCAAGAGGAACAGCAAGGATTCGGGATACGAAGATCATGCATGGATGGAGTTTGTGTAATAAGACAAATAAAAGAAAAGTCGCTGGAATACAACAAACCAGCATATACGTGCCTGACAGATTTGAAGAAAGCGTTTGATAGAGTGAGAATTCGGGACGCGATACCTTTATTATATGACAGGGGAATACCACTGGATTTAGTAAAAACTATTGAGAATATATATAAAGATAACATAGCTATGGTAAGATGTAAAGGAAGACTCTCGCAACCTATCAAGTATGAAACTGGCATTAGACAAGGAGATTTGCTGAGCCCACTAATATTTAATCTGATAATGGATGAAATCATAAAGAAAGTTAAAAAAAGAAGAGGATATAGAATGGGAGAAAAGGAAATGCAGATAATATGCTACGTCGACGACTCCATAATAATAGAGGAAAATGAAGATGACCTACAAAGATTAATTAAAGAATTCGAAGATATACAACATGGTGATTTCAACAGAGAAAACTAAATCGATAGTGATATCAGCGGAACCGAGACGATGTAAACTGGTCGTAAATAACAAAATAATACAACAAGTGATGGAAACGGAATACTTGGGAATCAAACTGTCAAGCTATGGAAAAGTGGAAGAAGTACAAAAACAATTGAACATGGCGAACAGAGCAGCAGGATGTCTCAACAATACAATCTGGAGGAACGAATACCTCACAACGGAAACGAAAACTAGGATAGGTATATAAATCAACAATAAGACCGATAATGACGTACACAGCGGAAACAAGAGCAGATACGGCGAAAACACAAAGATTATTGGAAACAGCAGAAATGACAGTCTTAGGAAAAATAATAAACCAAACTCTAAGAGACAGAGTAAGAAGTGATGAAATTCGAGCGAGATGTGGTATAGAGAAAATAAACCTGTGGATCAAAAGAAGAAAACTAGAATGAAATCAACACATAGAAAGAGTGACAGAAAATAGAACAGTACGAATAGCAAGAGACAAATCGCGAAATGGACGAAGATCAATGGGACGACCGAGGAAAAGATCGTCAGACAACATCAATTGAGGCTAAACACCGACATAAAACAGGCATGAGCCTATTAATAAAGTAGGGAGAAGAAGAAGAAGAAAGTAATCGAGATCTTTTTCGAAGAGATCGCTCACCGCAGTGTTGCCTCTGCTTGTGTTTATTATGACAATTTACAAAATTTACGGAAGCTACTATGATTTTAACTCCTTTTTAAAATATGTTGTGAGCCGCCAGAATTGCCTTTGCCGACGGGTTGGCGATCACTGCTTTAAGGTGCCCCTAGAGAAAATTATCTAAGTGATTCATATCGGGCGAGCGAGGGGGCCATAGGTGTGGGACTGCTCTCCCAATCCTGCGATTATGGTAATCTTTATCCAAAAATTGTCGTACCACTACACTAAAATGTGGTGGAGCACCGTCGTGCATGCACCATGACTGGAACTTCTTCTAAAAGTCCAGGTTGAACAAATTCTAAAAACCTTCCGTATTCTTCTCCATTAAGTCTAGCTGGCAGAAAATGAGACCCAATAGGACGGTCTGATCTTCAAGATTATGTTCTAAGGCGTGTGAATTGCTTCTGGCTCAAATGTGATTGTTGTGGAAGTTAATAATTGAATTGCGAGAAAAACAAGCATCGTCTGTAAAGAATATTCCACTTAGGAAACCTGGATTCCTTATCACTTTACTGAGTAACCAATCAGAAAAAACTAATCCTTTAGAGGCAAATCTCTGAGCTTGCGCACTTTGCATGTGAAATGGATATAGCTGCTGGTCTCTTAAAATCTGCCAGACTGTGACACGGGTAGTATTCAGTTCTTCATCTATTTTCCAGGTACTGGTATGAGGATTTGCTTCAATTCAATTTTAAACAGCTTCTTCAATTTGAACTGTTTGTACCGTTGCAGGCCTCCCGATGACAACCATCTATCTTTTAAAGCTGCCTGCTTCAGAAAGTCGTGCATGGAGACAAAGGCACTACACGCTGATGAAATCTTTCATGATAACTGCGTCTTGCAGCATTAGAGTTTCCATGAGGTTATTCCATAACATAAATGCATATCTGCCATGTTAATATCATTAAACTGAACTATTTTGAACAAAAAATAACCAAAAACACTTTTTATAAAAATGATAACTCAGTAGCTTATAAATACTAAGTTGACGATTGTCGAGTTCTTTACTAAGGCCCGTATCGTCATTCGTCCCTACAGTTGTAGGGCGCGTTTATGGCCTCCTTGATTGTCATACTGCTTTCTCTCCTTCAAAAATTTCTAGATTACACTTGTCCCGTGTCAGCGTCAGCGCTCTCCTATTGTGAAGATATGTTTCCTTTTTAAATTGTAGGAAATTTCAGGCTGATAAAACATGATATAACTCAAAAGCAAGTACAATTTGATGCAAACAGATGTTTGTGACATAACCTCAAAATAGAGCGCTGACACGGAGAAATAGAAAACTATGACAATCAAGGAGGCCATAAAGGCGCTCTACAATTGTAGGGACGACTGACGATACGGGCCTAAATGCTGCAATCGTTTTCCAAGGCAACCTTTGATTATTATTTACTATTCCTTGGTTTAGTAGCATTCATTAGTTTAGAAGTTGATGTGATGTAATTTGAGTGTTTATTTGTTGTTCTTACATGATTAGTAATGAAAAAGTATTAAAAAAGCAATCATTTACAAAAGAAACTTTTCCCCATATTCCTTACATGGTCCAGGGATATGCAATTGAGTGGACTTCTTTTTATCTAAAACTAAGCCAAATAAGAAAAAAAAATCAAGGGACAAAAATTTTGTATTTCTATTACCTCAGCAAAATCATAACAAAATTAGGTGAAGGATATTCAAGAACTGTACGAAAAACCTTTTTTTTTTTAATTTTCACATGTTGAGTACGGAGAATTTGCGGACCCATGTTTATAAGAACTGCTTGTTTTGAACGTACTCAAATAACCGTCTGTTAAATTTATGGCTTATACTTGATTAACACGATGTAAAAATTTTAATTCAACGTATATGGTTTCAGATATTTCAACGATGTTTAAACGAGACCAAAGGAGGCGGAAATATCGCTCTCGTGTATCTTTTATGGTTTGGTGCACGCATACTGACACCGGTGAGTATTTTATAGAGCATGACTGTTCCAAAAGCTTGCAATCACGCATCTTTCCCGGAAAAAGGATACAACAAAGCTTTAGGAAATAAAAGAATCAATTAATTGATGACTTCGTAGCACCTTGCGTAAGAGATAATAGAATGATAAACGTCAAGACAACAAAGTCGCCTAGAAAGATTTCGATGTATTACCCTGTTTTATTTTACCACAAGGGTAGTACGTAAACATTCGATATGGGCAACAATGTCAGGATAAAGTAAAAGCTACTTACTTGGTGACAGGGTAGTTATGATTTAATCAAAATGTTTAAAACGGGTGTTTACACTGTTTAAAAGAATGAAGGTGTTTTAAATCAATTTGTTTTAAACTGTAACATGTTTTAAACACTGTTTTTCGTCGGCGGTGAATGATTCAAGTTTTGTTTTATTTTTTTTTAAGTATTATTAAAATTGATTTTATTTTGCAAAACAAAATAAAAGGGCCGTAGGCTAAAACACACAGTTGCTAAAAAATATACTTTATCTTTATTAATTAAACATGAAACTAGGGCACAAATACTAGGGGAAAAAATTTTTTCTTAACTAATGAGTGAACTTAATAACTGCATCGAACTCTGATACTAGTACACTACAAGCAGCAGAATAATCATATAACATAACTATTTATTTACTTGTATAATAACATTAAATTAGTTACTTAACAAATTTCCGGTTTCCGGCACCAACGATCCACAGGGGACCTCCTAGCTTACGTCACGCAATTGTGGAGTAAACTCATCCAGTCTTATGGTGAGGCTCATGTCGTTGCTCTTGACATCACGAAAGCGCTCGATCAGCTGTGGCACGCCGCCGTCTTAAGCAAACTTCCATCCTATGGCCTCCCAGAAAAGCTTTGCAGATGAATCGCTGACATTATCTTTGGCGTCCCATAAGAGTAGAAAACAAAAAACGCTAAGGTTTTACACGCCAGTGGCCGAGAATATAAAAAAACTGTGTAATTATATCCTCAATTTTTTAAATTTTCAATCTTCCACTATTTCTTTTTTATGCTACTTTTATGTACGTGATTTTTGGTATAGCAACTCTTTTTGACGAGTTTGTATAAGTAAGTATTTAATCGTTTAATCTGTTCCGGTAATTAATTGTAGAGCTTTATGCGCATGTAGTAGGGTGATTTTTCGTTTTTACAAACCTGTGAGTAGGAAATTGCAGTGTTAAAGCACTCCTAGTATTATAGTTGTGATTATTAGTTAGACTACACAGGCTTGTCTACATGTAACGATAGTTCATAAATATAGATATACATGTTAAGGTCAACATTCCCATCTCTTTAAAAATCTCTCTACTACTAGTCAACTTGTTTACCCTGACACTGATCTCATATTTCTCTTTTGAAAAATAAAGACCTTGTCAACATGTGACGATAGCTCATAAATATAGATACATGTTAAGGTCAACATTCCCATCTCTTTAATCCCCCGATGTATACATGAAACAGGCAATGACATTCCTCTCTTCAATGTCAGACCATTATCAACATGCCACTTATTAATACGTGTAAACTCAGTTGTCGCGAATGCAGCTATGGTTGGTACTGTGGTAGCATTTACTAAGAGAGACGTATCATCTGCATACATAACAAAGTTGTTGCTGTTGAAATCATTGATGTATATTATGTATAGCATAATGTAAATCAGTTAAAAAATCCCACCGTTTTTACAGATTAACCTGCCATCTATTGTTTGTTATAGCACTTCATAGTGCACACATTTTTTGTGTCATTTGTCTACAGTTTTCTGTAACTATTAGTTTAGAACACAACGCATGGCTTCTCCTTGAAGACCTAGTGCCTATAGTTGGTCTATAGTCTATGGTACATCTAACTATACTTGTTTGACTGCCCGTGATTGTCGAACCTCATATGTGTGATTAATTTCTATGTATATTGTAAACTTACACAATACTTTAGGCTTTTCTGCATGTGAAACATCCTGTTTTTACAGGGCACTTGGAATGTTTAAAAAGATATTGCTAGTAAACATATTTCAACAACCCCCCAACGCCTAAGTACCATTCATTTAAAGGGTTCCATGCACTATGCGGGAAGTCACATTCATGCCATAAGCCCGTAAAGTGGGTGCTTGTATCGCTCGACAGCAACACCGTACGAATCCGGCACCTTCCCAAAAAACTGGAAATTTGTTCATGTCCAAACCATCAAAAAAAAAAGGATCTAAGAACCTCCCTTACAACTACATGTTAATAGCTCTGCTTTCCGTTATAAGTAAGGTTACGGCTTAGTAGCGACAGGCAGTATGGTTTCCGGCACCAGCGTTCCTCAGGGGACCTCCCAGCTTACGTCACGCAGTTTTGGTGTGAACTGATCTAGTCTTATGGTGAGGCTCTTGCCGTTACTCTTGATATCACGAACGCGTTCGATCAGCTGTAGGATGCTGTCCTCTTATGCAAACTTCCATCCTTTGGCCTTCTGGAGAAGCTTTGAAGATGGGTGCTGACATTCTCTCTGGCCGCAAGAATCCGTCTTCATACCACAACGTCAATGCGTGTGTTCCCCGGGGATCGGTCTTGGCTCCGACACTGTTCCTATTACACATCAACGGCTTCCTTTCCTGTAGGATAAATGCAATTCATATCTTTGCAGATGACAGCACCCTACATGCAGGAACTCAGAGCGATAGGCCGATTTCTGTCGGTGAGATTGAAAAAAGAAGACTTGCTCTCTGACGAGAGACCTGGAGGTTATCACTGCTTGGGGATGCAACAATCCTGTATTGAATTTCGTACATCCAGAACTGGTCGACACGACCGCTAATTTGTCACCAGGATATCGAGAGTGTTGAATAATATACAAGAGGAAGCTTTTCCCAGTTGTACTAGCCTTGGGCAGTTCAAATTAATTTATTAAACAATTACTGATCAGTTTCGTCTGCCAGGGAAAATGACGGAACATTTTGAAATCTGAAAGTATCCCATCGCAGGATATGTATAGGCATTGTTACTTTAAAGGTGTCATGTTGCTCGGTTAGAGAGAGGTAATGTCGGAGCTTTTGGGTACTGAAACGGCAACGTAATAACCTGGTTTCTTGACTGCTTTTCGTAATAATCAACAAACCTGGCATATCTGTCTAAGTACCCGATTATTAAGGTATCCATATAGATCCTGACTTCCATGTGGTAGGAAGCTATCGTTCCCCCGTGCGAGGTATTTCCGTATCAGGTGTGACCATGGACACGGGCGTGACTTCCATGCGGTAGGAAGCTACCGTTCCTCTGATTATGTGACATCTATGTGATAGGATACTACCGTTCCCCGAAGCCATGTGTTGTAATTATTTTATGACCAGTATCAAGAGAGCTAACATAATGAATAGACAGTAGAGTTATGCATGTCATGAGTCGATAGAATATAGAAGGTACTCAAAAGGTTTTTTCCAAAAATGGGCTTGGCCTCGACAACCCCGTTTTATAGACCCCACCTCTCGCCAAGGAAGGACAACTCCCCGGTCGTTACGTCACCAAGAAAGTGGCTCTGAAATTATCCTGACATTGAAGCTCTTCTTAAGTTGTTTATGTCCTGCCCTCGTAATAAAAGTGAAAAGGTATAGGGCAGTACTTGGATGGCTTGTAAGGTGAGATGGCTGTTTTTTCATGCTTATCATTCTATCATCTTCTTATTCTAAGTATAACAGTATCTCTAGTTCTCGGCGGGTCAAAGTAAGTCTACCAGTTTCACTTTATATACGTAGATATACCTATCTCCATCTCCCTCACACATACACATGCAATCTACCCCTGTGTGTGAACGTTTGTTCGGAGAGCTCAAATACATACGTTTTTTAGTTGTGTCTCGGTCTCGAAAACCTTGTCGTTACGTAAGAGTGTCCTTCAATCATATTTGTCAGAGTGACAACTTACTTGACATCGGCATGCAATTCGAGTTGTCCTGTTATCAATCTTCAATATAATTTTGGACAATGCCCGGAAATACGATAAATGGAGAAGTCCGACAGCTCGAATATTTCCAGGAAGAGAATAAAAACAGCGGTCTATTGTTACCCACTTCATGCATACTGTAGAGAGTAGCAGATGCGTTGAAGATATGTCTGTGCAGTGTTCCGCGCATGGTGCGGTCGCGCGATCTGCTTACTTACTTCATATGTCGTTGATGACGTAACCGCCAAGAATGGTGACTATAACTATATTTAAATTTACGGAGATACAGGGTTTGTCCGGAAAGTAATAGGACTGAGTCGATTTAACAACATTTCTTTAAAAACTTTCAAAATAGGCTACTTCTTCAAGCATTGAAGGCGTCACGGAAGGCATTCTCCGGAATAGCCTTGAAAGCCGCGGTGCATGCTGCTTGGATCCCCTCTGTCGTCTCAAAATGCTTGCCTTTCATCGGCCTTTTCAGGCGAGGAAAGAAAAAAGTCCGGGGGGGGCACATCTGGGCTGTAGGGCGGCTGCGGAAGCGTTGGGATGCCGGCCTTGGTCAGGTAGCTGTTCACAAGAAAGGCGGTGGGAGCCGGGGCGTTGTCATGGTGCAACTTCCAGTCGGCTGCGATGTCTTGTTGGACTCGATTGACTCTTCGTTTGAGTCTCCTGATCACTTTCACGTGAAACTTGGCGTTGACGGCTTGTCCAGGAGGTACAAATTCATGGTGGACGATGCCTTTGATGTCAAAAAAGACAATGAGAATCGTTTTCACTTTGGATCTGCTCATTCTTCCCTTTTTAGGGCGAGCAGACGCCGTCGTGTGCCACTCGGAAGATTGTCTCTTTGTCTCGGGATCATACTCAAAGATCCACGACTCGTCACCTGTTTTCTTTTTTTTATATCGAAACAGCCGCGCAGGCAGAAGCCTAAATGCCCGAACATCGCGGCTGCTATGATGATCCCAAAGAAATTTTGTTAATACGATTTTTGAACTGCCTAAGGTTAGTAGAACTGGGAAAAGCTTCCTCCCGTAGACTGTTCCACAATCTAGACACCCTCGGGACAAAGGAGCGGTCGTATCGGCCAGTTCTGGATGTACGAAGCTTGACACGGTTAGGATGGGACGCCGAAGTCAGGCGGGTCTGTCTGGCAGGCACATCGCGCGGCGGCATCATGGAAGAGAGCTCTGAGGAGCAAAGCCCGTCGGTGTAGCGATAGAAAAGAGCTAGATCGCCGACGACCCGACCGTGCGAAAGAGTCCCGAGACTGTCTGATAGAGAAGAGTCATCGACCAGTCGGACCGCCCTCCTCTGGACAGCATCGAGCATGGACAATGTAGTCGGGGCGGCAGCACCCCAAATGTGTGAGCAATACTTGAGGCTAGGCCTTATCTGGGCCTTGTATAGAGTGAGAAGGTCATGCGGAGAAAAGTACTTCTTAGCCCTAAACAAATAGCCTAGCTTTTTCCCAGCAGCTGCAGCTATTGAAGAGATGTGTTCGTGCCAGATCAGGTCCTCGGTGATCTGGACTCCGACCAGCCGAAATGAATGGCTCTTTGGTAGAACTCGACCGTCTATCAAAACTGTATGAGCGCTAGGACGCTTTTTGTTCGTCAAAGTACAGTACTGTGTTTTGGAAGCATTGAACTGTACAAGATTGTTGCGTCCCCAAGCAGTGATAGCCTCCAGGTCTCTTGTCAGAGAAGAAGTCGTCGCTGGTCTTCTTTTTTCCAGCTCAGCGGCAGAGATCGGCTTGTCACTCTGAATTCCTGCATGTAGAGTGCTGTCATCAGCGAAGCTGTGGATTGGGCTGATCGTGCAGGAAAGGAGGTCGTTGATATGTAAGAGAAACAGTGTTGGAGCCAAGACCGATCCCTGGGGAACACCCGCGTTGACGTTGTGGGATGAAGAGGAGAATCCGTCAATTACGACGGATATCTTGCGGCCAGATATAAAGTCAGCCACCCATCTGCAAAGCTTTTCTGAGAGGCCGTAGGATGGAAGTTTGCTTAAGAGGGCAGCGTGCCACAGCTGATCGAACGCTTTCGTGATGTCAAGAGCAACGACATGAGCCTCACCATGAGACTGGATGAGTTTACTCCAGAGTTGCGTGACGTAAGCTAGGAGGTCCCCTGTGGATCGTTGGTGCCGGAAACCGTACTGCCTGTCGCTAATCAAGCTGTGACGTTCGAAGTATTCCAGAAGCTCCCGATTTATGCACCTCTCCATCACTTCACTTATAACAGAAAGCAGAGCTATAGGCCTGTAGTTGTAGGGGTCGGTCTTAGATCCTTTTTTTGGGATGGGCTGTACATGAGCAAATTTCCAGTTTTCTGAGAAGGTGCCGGATTCATAAGATATCTGGAAGAGACGCGAAAGAACTGGAGCAAGCTCCGCTACACATCTATTCAGTACAATGGCAGGAATGAAGTCCGGACCAGAAGCTTTGTTGATGTCGAGCGACAAGAGCACTCGTCTTACGGTCTTATGCCTGAATGTTACCTCCCGCAAAGTGTGGGGAACCCTTTGAATTGACGGCACTTGGGCGTTTGTGGGGACGTCCATGGTGGAGTTGGCAGCAAAGATCTTGGCTAGCACTTCGGCTTTGGTCGAATACAATAGTTCCATCCTGACACGTAAGTGGTGGAAGGCTACTGTGTGAGAAGTTCTTTTCAATCTGCTTGGCCAGCGTCCAGAAAGACATTACCCTGTGCCTAACTTTTATATCATGCTGGTTTTTGGCATTGCGAACCGCTTCGTTATATTTGTTTCTGGACTCGACGTCGGCTTGTCTGTTCTCTACAGTGGGGTTTTGTAAGTAGGTTGTGTGAGCCTTGATCTTCTGCTGGCGAGCAGTGTCACACGATTTGTTGAACCAGCCGTTGGACCCTGGTTTAGGAATATTCACTGTGTGAGGGATGTATTCCTCCATTCCGACGTGGATAATTTCGGTTGTTGAAGAACAGACAGTCGACGCATCCGCGTCAGTGAAACAGACATCTCTCCAAGGAAAGCTAGAGAAGAAGTTTCTGAGCCCCTCCCAGTCGGCATGTCCGTAATGCCAAGTTTTGCGGCCTGTACGAGTTTCTGCTGCCACAGCGGCTTCTGACCGAAACCTAACCTCCACAACACCGTGGTCTGAGTTACCCAGGGGGGACAGGACAGCAGTGCTGTAAGGGACAGGATGCGTGGTCAGAAGGAGATCCAGCAGGCTACTGGCGTGTGACGAGACGCGGGAGAAAAAGTAGGGCTCGTCACCAGCTGGGTCAGCCCTTGAGTAAGAGCGAACGCTTCGACTGCACGACCTGCTGAATCGGTCTTGTTTGAGCCCAACCAAAACTCATTATGGGCATTGAAATCACCGAGAAGAACTATCTCTGAAGCGGGGTGATTGAAGTTCAGGAAGTCGATCTGGACGGCGAGGTATTCGAGTAGGTCATCCCAGTTATGGTTCGAGGGAGAGCGATAAAGGCAGCAAATAAATTTGGGTGATGTTTTGGAGTTGAGGCGAAGCCACAGAATGTCCTTCCGGTCTGATTCCAAAGAAAGATCCCTGGAGCAGGAAAGACTGCTGCGGACAAAAGCCACAACTCCCCCGTTCTTTCTCAGATTGGAGTGCACCTCGTAGTTTGGGAAGTTGAGATGGTTAATCGGTGCAGTGAGATTTTTGTCTCCGCCATAAAAGCACGACGGGACGATTGGATTGCAGGTAGTGATGAACAGCATCAATGTTGCTGTTGATCCCGCAGATGTTCGAAAAACAAATTTTATCTTCGATGTTGTTCCCTCTAGCCCACCCTCCACCCGGACATTCCGAGAGTGGAGTGAGTTTAAGTCCGGAGTTCTTGGTGCTCGAGGGATCCATCATCAATAATATCTTTGTTTTGGTAGATAACCGACTGCATAGCTTAGGTGTGGAAACATGCGGACATTTATAAGACACCCTGGGAAAAGCCAGCGGGTGGTACTGCCTCGGTCGACTGGTCCTTGTCTACCACCTTCTTTTTACGTGTCGACGGTCTGAGTTCAAAACTTCGCGCACGAGTCACATTATTGGTGTTTGTCGAAGGTCTTCCAGCACGGTCTTCATCAGCGACCTCTTCCCGGCCCTCCAAAAAGGCCTGGTGCCACCGAAACACACCACTTCTTGCTAAAGCAACACCTGGGTAAGCCTGCTTGATCATATCAAACGTCTCTGTCGCAGATTTACCGAGTTTCACACAGAATTTAATCGCGTACCTCTGCTCTAACGAACGCTGCATTTTCGACTTGCACCACTCACAGAAACACGTCGTGCGAAAATGCCTGTACTGACTCTCCAAGTGCACGGAGACAACTGACCAGCCGCTCATTCGTTAGCTAGGAACGCCCTCTACCGAATCCAGTCGGGGCGCGCACGCTCCGAAGTACAGTCATGGCGGAAGAAAATGAGTCCTATTACTTTCCGGACAAACCCTGTAACCTGCAATTATAAGTCATATTGGAGATCACCAATAATTTGCTCTCTCTCTCTCTCCTGGAACTTTTGTCGTTATCTCTATTTGGAAAAATGCGTGGATGCCAAGTGTTCGGAAGTCTAATATTACTCCTGCTAAGGATTTTATACAAGCTGCGCATTACTGCTGCTTTAGCATCAGTTTGCGTGCCTCCTACTGACATTATATTCTTACGAGTATTTCTCACCCACAGTTTACTTATCATAAGTACAGACACATTACTGTATAGTTTGATTTCCTTATAGGAACCTAGGAGAGCAGTACTGAGAGCAGTGTACTTGGCATGCGCGAAAGAGATGGAGGGGGTGACAAAAGGGTTTTTCATGCCTTCAGGAGCAGCACGTAGACCAGCGATAGCGCTCAATGAAAATTTTTGCCAGGAGGTGTGGGATTTGTCTGAAGAGGCTGTTCAACTGAAGCGAGAAGAGAAATTATGAGTCAATGTGCTGTTAAACTAAAATTAAGCTTATCCGTACTTATGTATGTGTATAATGAGACCAAACTGTTGTTCCATCATGTTTTAAAATTCTCAAAATAAGCTGATGCGTCTATCAATTGTATATCTCATCGGACTATTGTTGACATAATTGACGTAATATACTTTTTTCTAATTATTTTGTAGCACATAGTTCTCAAATCGTGGAAATAATTTCGAATCTCTTATGTTTGATTAAGGATTTTTGAAAAGCGTGTTCATGATCCGATGGAATTATTGACCAGAGCGAATCAATGAGAAGGCGTCCTTGAAGTAACGGATCTAATTAATTTAGTAGATTTGTTGTAAAATGTCTCTTAAGCTTGATAAAAATTATACAATCTGTGTAAAATCCTCATATTAAATCAAAGAATACTTCATGTGTCATATGATTCAACTACAAAAACCTATTTTTCACTTGTGCCCGGACACAAAAGTTGACGCAAATTTCATCAATCAGAAAGGATTTGTGATCTACTCGATGCATGGATCAAATCTTATACAATAGATTAACATGACCCCATTACTGAGTGTTAGGGGAGACCGGGGCTATACTACAACTATTTAAAACTGTAATGACTCATACGCGTGATCAACACGTGATCAGAGCTCTATCCCGGTTTCCTTCCAGTACAGCCGTATAGCGTACGACATATTTATGTCCTTTCTGTGGCTTTGCGGTGGTCAACAGCACAGACAGAGATGGAAATAATAGCTGATTGTTCTCCGCCGGTAGAACCAATGAAATCAAAGACGCGCCTCGACCGGCAGACTCATAGGCGTCGGCAACGCATTGGAACGTGTTTCCTTGAGCGATCGCATATTGTGTGTTTTTATAAGAATTGTTGTGTGATTGTTATTGTTGTGGTTTCTGTGGTTACTGTTTTGGTTATACTTAACCATGGAGAGTACAAATGGCACGAGTGGAAGTACTGAAAGCCAGGGAACAAGTAGACGGCTTGGCGTATTCAATTATCTGAACAGAACTATGTCGCAGGGAGATGCACTCGCGCGTTGTGAAAGTATGACAGGCATTCCAGAGTGGACCATTCGCAGGGTGGTGCATGAAAAGAAGAAAACTGGAGCTACTACTGATCCAAAGTTTAATTTGAAGGGACGAAAGGCCGTTAAATTCGATGACGATAGCAAAATGGCGTTAAGGCGAACCGTACATTCATTCTTCTTTAGGAATGAGATACCAACCCTCAAGGCTGTACATGCAGCGATCAAGGAAAATGAAATTATACCCCAAATGAGCGTCGAGGTAATGAGGAAATCCCTGCACGAAATTAATTTTCGTTACGAAACGTGTAATCGGAAGTCAGTATTGATAGAGAGACCTGAAATAGTCGCCTGGCGTCGAAAATACCTACGCGAAATGATTGAATATATTCGACAAAGCAGAAAAATCTATTATTTGGACGAGACATGGGTAAATGCAGGTCACACAGTTAAAAAAACCTGGATAGACAAAGACGTAGTGAGTATCCGACAAGCAAGCATTGAAGGTTTGTCAACAGGTCTTCATGGACCGTCAGGGAAAGGTCAAAGATTGATCGTAACTCATATTGGTAGCGATAGTGGCTTTTTAGAAGAGGGTGACTTGATCTAAGAAAGGAGGTGATTACCATGACGAAATGAATGCCAGCTGCTTCGAGAGCTGGTTTCAAGGGGTGCTTCAGCGAGTTGAGCCCAACTCTGTGATCGTCATGGATAATGCTTCCTACCATAGTCGTCGAGCCGAACGTGTACCGACTATGGGATCTCGAAAAAGTGACATGCAGCAATGGTTGCGCGAAAAAGGAATCCCGTTTGACGATTCATGTGTGAAAGCGGAATTGTATGAAAAAATTAAACAGCACAAACCTGCGAACATTAGTTACGTGACTGATGAGATGGCCCGTCAATGTGGTGTCACTGTGCTGCGGTTACCGCCCTACCACTGTGAATTGAACCCAACAGAGCTCATCTGGGCTCAAGTGAAGGGTTATATTGCGCGCCATAACACAACCTTCAAATTACCAGACGTTAAGGTTTTACTTGAGACTTCCATACAGCTAGTAACGCCCGAAGCTTGGCAGAATGCTATCCGTCATGTTGTGAAGGAAGAAACAAAAATGTGGCAGCTTGACCACCACATCGACACCATCATAGAGCCAGTTATAGTCAATTTCAACGAGGAAAGCGATAGCGACAGTTTATTACTGTCAGATGTAAGTGGAAGCGACGATGAATAAAGGTAATTCCCAAATTTTTGACTTACAATATGTTTCAAACCACTCTTTATTAAGCATGTGACAAATCTAGTTCACTCATGTTAAACATTCATACCCCGCCTATGAACAGCCGACTACTGGTAGTTAAGTGATGTTCAAGTGAACATCGATGAGTCATTACAGTTTTAGATAGTTATAGTTGTCACAATTTTCAGTAATTCTTTTTTTTATTCGATCTGAAGCGTTATATGCACATATTTGGTGCATAACTAATATGGTTTATCCTTTGGGAACACTATGTAAAATCGATAAGGCTGTAAAATTATTCACAATATTAAATTAAAATATTTCAAAATACAGAAACAAATGCGACAACTTGCCCCTTTCTGGGACTGGATGTCACAGTGCTTGGGGTTGGTTGTCACGTGTATTTTAGATCATTAATAAATTATGATATCATACTTTTAAACATATTTATTATTACAAAAAAAAATGCTTATTAAACACCAAATCTTTGAGAAAAAAGTAGAAGAGTTTTTTTACAATTAGTCACTAGCGGAGTTATGACATAATATGTAAAGTTCGCGTCCATCAGTGCACGCATCATGAGACCAACCATTACACGATGAGCATTTCACCCATTCTTCATTTGGCGCGCTGTTAGAAAATGGTTCAATACAAATCAGGCAAAAACATTCTTCTCCATCAGTTTCATTATCTGAACAGGACTTGCGTTTTTAAATTTTTTTGGATTTCTTAATTTTTTTTTGAATCAAAAACGTCTCTTTTCACTGTTTTCCTGTTCCTCTTTTTCCTGTTCCAGCATTTATTTTTCTCTTTCTGTAATTCGTATTTTACTGGAGTGTCAGGCACTCCCTCGTTTACGATGGGAAACTCGATTCATTTTTCTTGCCGATGCCTTTGGATAAGGTCTTAAACTTTCTGGAAGTCCTATACTCGTATTTCCCGTATGCAGCCTTACTAAACTACTACAGCAGGGATCATCAAAACTAGTTTAATTAGCTGTTTTGCTCTCTCGTATATTATCTATTGCTTCCTGCGTGTTAATATTTATCAGACTTACAGTTTCATCTTCGTTCAAGATACCCGGATCTGGCCTATCAGTGATAGAGCTCGCAAGAAAGTCATAATCCGTGAAAATATCTCTGTTGTAAGGAAACACACCCGACACCCGAAATCCAAACTGTATATTTTTGGGAGTAAATGCGAGGGGGTATGCAATAGAGACCACTGAAGGTATGTCGTATATAGTCATGGTCTTACCGAGATTATTTAAAACCCAAGCATCGCAGGAAGTATTTACATATGTCTTAAAAGGGCCGAAAACGGCGCGGTCAAGAGGTTGAAGTTTATGTGAACAGTGAGGGTAAAAAGAGAGCCTGACAATACCATTTGCATTGGTAAAATTTAGTCCTTCTATACTCAAATGTGATCCATGGTTATCTAGTAAAAGCAGGCACGGTCTTTCCACAGTACTTTTCACATGAAGGTGAAAAAATCTAAGAAACGCCAACAAATGTGACCCTTTGGATGAAAGGGTTGGATGAACCTGATGGGTTTGCAGAACCTTGTGAGCAAGGAGGAGCCGAATTTAAAAAATGTGGTTTAAAATGTACCCATGGAAAAATGAAAAAAGGAGTTATGGAATTTCCAATAGCTGATACTGCACTTGCTAAAGTAACAAGAGTTCTTTCTGATGAAACTATAGAACCAACCTGTTTGAATCCTCTTCTGGCAACAACGCGGTCGGGTCTTTGTACAGTTGTAATCCCAGTTTCGTTCATGTTCCAGATTTCAAATTTGTTTTTCCATAACTCAAGCTAAATTATCAAAAAATGCGTTGACGTTCGTTTTATTGAAACTACTGGCTCTTGCTAAACTAGTTGCTTCCGGTTTGCGAATAGACAGTACAGGATGACGTTTCAAAAACGCACTGAACCAGTCAGGACCAGCTACTTTATGGAGCTCCAATTTTCCGGCATTTTCAAGGAATTAGCATTCGCAAATTCATATGCCAGTCCACGTACTTCCTTAGGTGATAATCCAAAATAAATATCAGATGCTCTGAGTACATATTCCACTAGATGATTTTCGAGTTCAGGCGCAAATACTAAATGATTTTTGATGTAGCCAACTGAAATTGACGGCGCAAGAACTCGATCATCAAGTAATTCAGACTCTGGAATTTTCTTACAGTATCTTGCTAAAGTACGGTAATTTACATTGAAGTCAGCTGCCGCTTATCTTATTGAGGATCCTAATCTCACTAATCTAGCAGCTCTTAAAAGTACGTCAGGTGGCGCTTTGCCCTTCTCAGTCTTCCTTTTGAAATTTCGAACCATGCTTATGTAACCTGAATATATTAAAAAAATACATTATACGTATATACATATACCTACGTAGAATGATGCAAAGCTAATCGTCTAGTGTGGGGGCTGGTTGTCCCATGTGACAAGAGGCCCCCGCTAATTTGAGAGAACCGCCCCCGCTAGATAATCAATTTTTAAGGTTAAATAGCGTCACTAAATTAACCAATTCAAAGTCAATACTTACGTTAAGTCGAATTCGGATTATTGAAGAGCAAAATAAATTCAACAGTTCTTTTTATTATCAAATGTAGTCTTGAAAACACAAATTATGTGGCAAACGAAAAATTTACTCAGCTTAGGCGATTTGCTTATTTTTGTGTGTGCGACCAGCGATAACTTTCGTACTGAATTCAAGTGTTCCGCGCGGACGCAGAAACGATGTGTAGCGCGCCAGGCAACTACATCTTGCGGAGCTGCTGAGATTTATCAATTGTGACAACCAACCTATGTGACAACCAGCCCCGGCCTCCCCTACGTCAATGGCCATTCGCCGCATGCCACTGCTCCTCCAGCGGTCACCACTGCGCAAGCGCGGTCGGTGAAACAACGACGCCACGTTGCCAAGGTGCTAGTGGGGTTTATTCTCGTGACTTTCGAGTACTCGTTACTCATCGTTACTCTTCTACAAAGTAATCATTTATTGGATTCGTTACTTTGATTACTATGAGTAGTCTGAGTATAACGATTTGGCAACGTGCATCGTGTAATTAATGTCGAATTTGAACAAGTACAATGGTACCGATCTTGTAAGAACATGGACAACCT